TGTGAAATTGGAGTCCCTTAAAAGGAGAGAGGAAGCAGGGGCAAAATATATTGAAGAAATAATGGTAAAAAATTTTCCACTTTGAATTTTAAAATTCAAAATCTATAAATATGCTAATCAAAAAAGTGTAACAACCCCAAGCATAGGAAATGTGAAGAAATTTACACCAGGCACATCATAATCAAATCTCCCAAAAACAATGATAATGAGAACATCTTAAAAGCAGAATGAGGGGGAAAAAAGAGACATATTTGTGCAGAGGAGCAAATATAAGAATGACAGAAAATTTATTAGAAACAACTTAGACAAAAGGTAGTAGAGCAAGATCTTGAAAATATTGAAGAAATGAGAAAAACTGGGACAAAGAGAAAACAAATAACAAGATGGTAGACTTAACCTAATCACAGTAATGATAACCTTAAATGTAAATAGTTTAAATGCCCCAATGAAAAGACATTTTTCAGATTGGCTAAAAGGGCAAGTCTCAACTATATGCTACCTACAAGACATGCACTCTAAATATAAAGACACAAATAGTTCAAAAGTTAAAGTATGGAAAAATATATACCATGCTAACACCAGTAAAAAGAAGGCTCCTGTGGCTATCTTAACATCAGACAAAATATATTTCAGAACAAAGAATATTGCCAGGATAAAGAAAGTCATTTCATAATGATACAAGGATCAATTCATCAGAAGAATATAACATTCCTAAATGTTTCTGTTTCTACATCTAATAACAAAGCTTTAGAATACATGAAACAAAAGTGATTGAATTGCAAGGGAGAAATCAACAAATCCACAACTTTAGTAGATATTAATACCTCTCTCTCAGTAATTGATACAAGTAGTCAAAAAATCAGCAAAAACACAGTAGACAACACTATCAACCAACATGACATGGTTGACGTGAAACACTCTACTAGACAACAGCAGAACATATATTCTTTTCAAGTGCACCTAGAACATTTACCAGAATAATTAATATCCTGGCTATAAAATAAGTCTCAGTAAATATAAAAGGATTCAAGTTATACAAAGTAAGTTCTTTGACCACAATGGAATTTAATTAGAAATCAATAACAAGAAGATACCTGGAAAACCACTGGAACTGAAAAATCTGTAAAACACTTTGAAACTAAATAACACACTTTTCAATTACCCAAGGATCAAAAAGAAAATGAAAATTAGAAAGTATTTTGAACTGAATGAAAATAAAAATACAACATATTAAAATTTGTGGGATGCCACTAAGCTGTACCTAGAGGAAAATTTGTAATACCAAATACCTGTAGTATCAGAAGAGAAGAAGGTGTCAAATCAATGACCTCAAATTTCACCTTAAAAAATTAGGGGAGAAAAAAAATCAAATAAAGCCCAAAGTAGAAGAAAGGGAATGTAGCCCAAAATGAAAATCAATTAAATAAAAAACAAAAAATAGGGGAAACAAATATAACCAAACACATATTCTTTGAGCTCAATAAAACTAAATCTCCAGTGATACTGATCAGGGAAAAGAGAAGACACAGATGACCATATGAGAAATGAGAAAGGTGATACCAATAAAGATTCTACAGTTATAAAGATTATCCTGTATAAAAACTATACAGGATAATAAGAGAATATTATAAATGACATTATGCAAAAGAAATTGACAACTTAGATAAAAATGGACAAATTCTTGAAAGACACAAACTACCCAAGCTTATTCAAGAAGAAATAATTAAAATAACCTAATATCTATTTTAAAACAATTTATAGTTTTAAAACTTTACCACAAAGAAATTCTAGGCCCAGATGGCTTCGCCAATAAGTTCTATAAGACATTTATGAAAAAAAATTACTTCTACACAATCTCTTCTAGAAAAGGATAAAGAAACTATATCCCATCTCATTTCATAAAGAGTGGACATACCCTGATACCAAAAGAGACAAGGACATTACAGGAAAAGAAAACTACAGACCAATAATCTTTACAAACATTGAGGCAAAAATTTGAAACATTATTTTAACAAATGGAATTCAAACAGTATATTAAAACATAAACATGACCAAATGTTTATTGTAAAAGTACAGGGGTGTTTAACATTAAAAAAGGAAAACTATATGATCATCTCACTAGATATGTAAAAAGTATTTGATACGATTCAACATCATGGAAAAAACCAACTTTTTGTTTGTTGATCTATTTTTTTTTAGTCTCAATTTCATTTATTTTTCTCTGATCTTTATTGTTTGTTTTCTTCTACTAATTTTGAGTTTGTTTTTTTCTTGCTTTCCTAGTTCCTTGAGATGCATTGTTAGATTGTTTACTTGAAGCTTTTCTACTTTTTCGATACAGGTATTTATTGCTATAAACTTCCCTTTTAGTACTGCTTTTTTTTGTATCCCAGAGATTTTGATACGTTGTGTTTCCATTTCCATTTGTTTCAAGACATTTTTAAGTTTTCTTCTCAATTTCCTCACTGATCCATCGGTTGCTCTGAAGCATGTTTCTTAATTTCCATGTGTTTGTGTATTTTCCTAGGTTCCTCTTATTGATTTCTAGTCACAAAAGTACTTGACATAATTACTTGAATGTGGTCACAAAAGTACATGACATAATTTTTACTTTTTTGATATTTGTTTTGTGGCTTAAGAGAGAGTCTATTCAGGAAAATGTTCCATGTGCTGATGAAAGAATGTATATTCTGAGGCAATTGGGTGAAATGTTCTGCACATGTCAGGCCTAATTGGTCTAGTGTGCAATTTAACTCTGACATTTCTTTGTGATTTGTCTGGTTCATCTGTCCATTACTGAAAATACGATGTTAAAGTGCCCCACTATGTACTGCAGTCTATATCTCTGTTTAAATCTATTCATGTTTGCTTTATATACTTGGGAGCTTTGGTGTTGGGTGCACAGATATTTATAATTATTATACCTTCTTGCTGAATTGACCCCTTTATCATTATATAGTGACCTTATTTGTCTCTTTTTATAGTCATTGATTTGTAGTCTATTTTATCTGATATGAGTATAGCTACGCCTACTCTTTTTTTTGTTTCCAGTTGAATGGAATATGTTTTTCCATCCCTTCACTTTCAGTCTGTGTGCTTTGTAGGTGAAGTGGGCTTCTTGTAGGCAGCATACAGCTGGATTTTGTTTCCTTATCCCTAAGTCACTCTATGCCTTTTAATTTGAGAATCGAGTCCATTTACATTCAGTATTATTATTGATAAGAAGAACTTATTTCTTGTTTTGGGGTTGTTTTATAACTCGTCTCTTCCTTTTGTCCTTTATTACTATATTCTTTTGTGGTTAAGTAATTTTCTTTGGTAGTATATTTTAATTCATTGCTTTTTATTTTTTGTGAATCTATTATAGGTTTTTGCATTGTGGTTACACGAGGTTTACAAAAAACATCTTACAGCTATGACAAGTTAAAGAGATGAACACTTAAAGCACGAAGGAAAGAATAGAAAGAAAGAATAGAAACAAAAAATCTCTAGATTAGAATGCCATCCTTCTATATTTTGACTGTTACTTTTCTCCATTTACATATTTTTATACTGCCTATCTTTTAGCAGATTGCTATAGCTATTACTGTTTTTGATAGATTTGTCTTTTGGGATTCACACTAGAGTAATGAGTGGATTGTATACCACAATTACAATTCTGGGTTTTTCCATGTGCTTAATTTTACCAGAGATTTTATACTTTCAAGTGTTTTCTTTTTGAACATTAGTGTTTTTTTCTTTCAGATTGAAGAACTCTCGTTAGCATTTCTTATAAGCTAGGCCTGGTGGTGGTGAATTCTCTTAGCTTTTGTTTGGGAAAGATTTTATCTCTTCATATTTGAAATATGGCTTGGTTGGATACACTATTCTTGGATAGCACGGTTTTAACACATTAAAAACATTGTCTCATTCCCTCCTGACCTACCTGGTTTCCACTGAGAAGTCTGTTGCTAGACATATTCTTTTCTCTTGCAGCTTTTAGGCTCTTCTCTTTGTCCTTGACCTCTGGAGAGCTTAATTATTATATGAGTGTTTTTCACTTCTCTGTGGCCTCAGGAATTCTCTCATCCTCATATTTGAGTTCTGAGGTACTGCTGATGATAATGATAATCTTGGCACTGTATATTTGTTTTTGTTTTCTGGGGTGGCTGGATAGGGACTGAAAACAGCTTGCTTCTACACCACCATTTTTAATAGGATTGCATTTTAACAGAAGCTTTAAACATTTTATTTTGTCCTAAACTGCCCATAATTTTAACATAGTAGGTACTGAATGAAGGATCTGATGAGGTGTTTTTAGATAGTAGAGCGAATGCTTAGGTATTCTCCACTGTTAAATTGTAATAGGGCATGGGTGATTGATTTTAGGAAACATGGCATAAAGGGAGAGAAAATTTCCTTCATATCTGACCCTCAACTCTGATATCTTTTAGCCGTCTAATGACTTCTATCAACATATGCTTATTACTAGCATTTCAAATTCATATTGTTCACGTAATAAATAAGGCAGTGTTATATTAATATAAATGAATAGATCATAACTCTTTTATTTTAGTCCTAATATCAACTTTCTTCTTGATCAATTTCTTTTTGCATAGATACTAACAGTCATAAAAATGGATCAATGAAGTAAAAATTTATCTTTCTCCTTCTGTCTTGAACTCAAGAGCTACTAGAAGAAAATATATATATTAGATCCATCTAAATAATTTGACAACAATAAAAAAGTGTCTTGAATAATTGAGTTGACCCTATTAGTAAAGATTACTTAGCACTGTTTACTCTGGCATCTTTGAAGAATTCACATTTTTTGTTTGGTTCTTTAGACCATTTTATCAATTTATTTTAATTGCTCAGAAGATGAAACAGTTACATTTCAATGAACTGAGTATTGTTTAGATAAAATAATGCATATAACTACAGATTAGAACTTTATTTTCTGCTGACTTATTGGTCCTACCCTGACAGAAGAAATTAAGTAGTTCAAATAAAATACGTACCTGGCGGTAAATTGGCCAACTTCTTCAAGAATCATAGAAAAGTATTTTAAAGTTTTCTGAGTGTGCTTTGAGTGTGCTATAAGTTTCTTTGAATCACCAAACAGAGAAAGGAAATAATCTTCTCCATCCCCAATCATGGGTGATTCATCCTGTTTCTTTGGAACCAAGAAGGGGCCGGCATCTTTCAAATAAACCAAAGAAATAAGTAACCAGGAGAGAAGTAAATAAAATGACATTAAAAGGACCCAAAGCCATTATCTTTATTCTCTGCTTCTACAAAATTATATTTTTACATTTTAATATCACTATCACAGTTAATAAGAATAGTTAGAAGCCTTAAACAAAAATCCATAAAATAATCAGTAAGTGGATATTTATAGTGACATCTTCAATTCCTAGAGATTATTTCAGTTATCTTAAACAATAAATTATATCATTAGTATAATGACTATTTAACTGATTATTTAGTTGTACTAGAAGCATCATCAATTTTTAAATAGGAAAAACATTTGATTCTGTCAAATTTAGATATGTTACATATAAATATAGCCTTATTCTACTTCATGTATGCTAAAATTTCCAAATGGCCACCCGTAAATTAAAACCTCATGTGAATCCTTTCCTACAATGGTTAGTACTTTTGTCAGGTAAAGACATAAACTTCCTCTATTTAATTAAAATACTTTATTAGAAAGATAAAGTAATGCTTAATCAGATTCTAGTGTCCTATTAGAAGTTTGCTCTTTTAAATCCTCACTACTTTCATTCAAATACAAAATAGGTTTCATAATTTTAAACATAAAGAGCCATTCTGGACAAATCTAATAATACATCCGCAAAGAGAGTTACACTACAAAGATGCATCGTGATGAAGTGGAAAGAACAATGAATCTTGCATTTAGACAGACTTGTAATTATATTTTAGTTCTGCCATTTACTAAGCCAAGTGATGTAAATTTTCCATGTTTCCATTTTCCTGAACATAAAATAAAGATATCACTCCATTGTGTAAGGAGATAAGAGAGCTGGAGATCATGTAGGTGTCTAGCATAATATTTAATATTTATCTGCTAATAAATGATAGCTATTATTACAGTACAGAGTTTTGGTTAATGTGACTCTCGGTCCAAAATCCTCAAAGGATTAAGACAATCTAGAGTTTGAATGTTACATCTTTAGCAAAACCAAAACAAGGTGAAAGATATAAAGGAATGAAATCATCGTTCTTAAAGAAGATTCCTCAAAGTATTTTGTTGAGAAAAAAAGAAACATTTGGAATTACATTAATTCATTCTCAGTTGAGTACTTCCTTAATCCTTAAATTCCTTTGGGAAAGGATAATATACAGCATCTTTCTTAACAGGTCATCTCGAGAAATAAAGGCCTTGCTATTTCAAGAGAAAAGAAGACACATTAACTTTGGTCCCAGTTGTTATTTTGTCTAGAACAAAAGATGGCAATGAACCAAGTGCAACAAATCTCAGTGAACCTAGACATCTATCTAGAGAAGTGGAATCTACAGTAATGGAAGGAGAAGACTACATCCCAATTCAGCTCCCATACTGTAAGGGGAAGCCACTGTATTTCATTTTTTTGCCCCATTGCAAGGAGCCAAGGTTTAACCCAAATATAGAACATATGCCATGATGATATAATGATGAATGACAGAAAATCTTTTCTTCCCAGATCTAAAATTTGTATTTACATTTTCAGTATGTGGGTTTTGGTCATCCTAAAGGTCAGTGTAAACTTAGGAGGTTTCTTGGGAAATTTTATACTTGTCATACAAAAAATGAAACATAGGGAATATGACCATAATGGCAGGAGAAAAAAACCCTATATAACCCACATCAAAGATTTTTTTAAAATATCGGAAACAAAATGAAATATAGATGAGGGGCAGCCAGACTGTAAATGAGTACAGAATGGTAGAGGATAATGGAGGCATCAGATAGTCACTGGACTATTTGTGCTACCAGTTTTGAAACTTGTTAGTTGATTGGCAATTGAAACACAAACTCCAAATCTGGTCTATTTTAAAAGAAGGTGATTGCAGGTATGTTCAGATGAACAACTAATGTTTATTGAGTATTTATTATGTGCTAGGTAATTTTCATAAAATTTAATCCTTAGGATAGCCCTGTGACATTTCTATTTTAATCTCCATTTTGCATTGGTGGAAAATGAGATGCTGAGATGTTAAGTACTCTACCTGATGCCTAACATTGTAGAAAAACAGTAGGTCCTGTGTTTTAAAGGATGATAGTGTTTTCAGTAAACCACAAAAACATACCCTCAAAGTTCCCTAATCATGGTGAGAAACAAACACCCTAGAGCATGGGTATTGCTGAGCACATTGTTGATAACAGTCAAAACTTTACTTTTTCTGATCATAGTACTGTTTTCATTTTCCTCTCCTTCAAGTTCTCCTTATTGTTTTACCACTTTCTCTCCATTATTTTATACCTACTTTATGTTACAGCTTTGTCTCATCTGTCTATTCCTTACTTAAGCCATACATCTCCTAAAGGCACAAAGTACACAAGATATGGCTTAATCCTTCTGACAGTGTTCAGAGAAAGGGCAGTTAATGCTATACATTGGAATTTTTAATCTCTAGCAATTCTAATGTATGTTAGCAGTCAACTCATGAACCATCATGATAACTCAAGATATCTTAATTATAAGGATGATATATTTGGCACATGCATGTATGTGGCCTGAATTTAACACCCCAGTTCTAGGATCAGTGATGACCATAGTTAAGTTACTTTTCATAAGATGCTAAGAAGTTAGCATTTTGGGGGACTAATAATAAAACATCATTCTGGCTGAGAGTCATATATGCAATGTATTGAAATATGTGCTTTAAAAGCACTCTAAAAATATGGGGTTCATATTTTGCTTACCCAAACTGTTTTCCATTTGGGAACAGCTACCTGCAGTAGCTTTAGAAGTCAATTGTCCAGTTGTTGATATAGTTACTCCACTAATCTGAGGACTAGACAGATGGTAACCAAGAGGCATTCCACTGGATAATGAAGATGACAATGGCAGTGTTGTGGCAACTGAACCCACCATCTTTGGGGAAAAATGTACTAAAGAATATACTGGGGGAGTTCCAAGTTTGTCTTCTCTTCTGTGTACAAAAAATATAATAAACAAAACAAATAAATAAGAAAGTAAAACTGGCTGTTAATAAAAGAAGCACGGGCTATCATTATTACCCAGAATTCTGCTTTTCAAAGGTAATATGCATCCAACACAAGCATAATAACATCTTGTATTTCTAGTTCTAACAATCTAAATAAAACACTTTATTATCAATTTATTATATGCTTTAAAATATTTGAAAATTAACAAATTTCTATTGTAGATGGTTCTGAAAATGTGTAAGTAGAAAAAAGATAATACTAATCATTACAATACCACCAACAAGACATTTTACCATCTCCTTCCAGGCTTTTAAATGTAGTTTTTTACTCTAAGTTGAGACTTTATAAGCCATTTATACCTCCACTTTGATCATTTATCATATTTCCCATTTCCATTACCATAAAATCATGATTATAATTCTGGTTTAATATATCATTGTTTCCTTTATGCTTTTCCTTTAATTCCTGTTGCTGCTTAACTACCTTTTCTATATTAAGATTGTTTAGTGAATGTCTGCCTTCAAATAAACTGTACATGTTTGTGTGTGTGTATGTGTATTGGAGGGAATGACATAAAAGAGAGAGAAAAAAGATCATTTTCACGTACTATTTTTAGTACGTACTAAGTGAATCTTACCATGAACAAAGATTTCCTTTTTTATAACTATAAAAGCATTTGTTAACTAGTGCACAATCATTTGAACAAGGTTCATAAGCTTCAGTACAATTATTTTACAGTTCTGTAAAATAGTTCTAGAAAGAAACTATTTCTGTAAATTGCCTTAACATATTAAATGGGAACTTTGGAATCTCAGCTAGGTCTTATACTGTGGAGATCTGTCCAGGTGGATTTTTATACTTCTCAAGGACTAGAACCTTATAAAACAGTAGTTGTGGAACTAGTTGCATGCTACAGTCCTTTATTTCTAGAAAATTTGTGAGATGTATTCTAATTCTAACTGGTTCATAAGGTATTAAAACAAAAGTGGTCAAGCATGCCATCATTCCTCCTCTATAACTCAGCTCTAACTCTGCTTTTGTCGCATCTATGCAGGCTCACTGTTCTTGTTTCTCCATCTTATCTTCCTGTTCATAGACTTTATTCTGCATTTGCCTCCAGAGCTTCCTGAATGTCTCATGTATCTTTCATCTTGACTAGAAGACAAGTCTCTTTTCTTTCCTAGGAAAGCAGATCATAACATCAGATGATGAATATCGCTGAGGTTCAAGGCAGATTTTTCTTTCCAAAGTGACCTCACCTGTTAATCCAACTACCTTCAAGCATCAACCAGGTTTAATAATTTCTTTACCAAACTAGCACCAGAACCAGAATTCTCATGAGGATATGTAAGTACCAACATAGCCAATCCTGATCTTGGCTAAGGATATCAGACAAACCACGGTGAAGGTGTGTAGCGTTCACTGGAAGCAGCTTGAGAGACAGGGCAGTAACTTTGCAAAGAGACCTTTATGACTACAATTGTTGCATCTGGCCAACACTGCCTCTTAGAACTATGAGGTAATGTCTCCATAGTAACCAAGTTCCAGTTTCTGAACAATTACTATGTTGATGCTGTACCTTCTTTGCAGTTTGCAGACATTAAATAAAGTAATTTGCTCTTAGGAGAGCTGTATCTTCTACCAGACTTTGCCACCAAAATTATTGATATCTTGTTTTGTATTTCTAAGAGTCAAGGCCAGTATGTACATACTGGGGAAATTAATCACAACTCTTTTCTTCTTTTTTTTTTTTTTCCTTCTCTCTCTTTCTTGACAAATACTTCGAGCACATGGAAACAGCTAGGCAGCAAGAATAGAAACCATAAAACTTCAATGCAAAAAGAAGCCTATTGTTAGAAATAGTAAAATCAAAACCAGAACACCTAAATTCTTCGCCTAGTTTTGCCAGCAGTATGATTTAGAAGAAATCACTTAATTCAGTTTCTACTCTGTGTAAAACACTCACACTTAATGTTTCATGATAATGATAGTATGACAATAAAATTAACAAATATGAAAGTACATGATTATATACACTAATAAGATATATAAATGATGATTACTGGATGATTGAGTTTATTAAAAATAGTTAATAAGATTCTACTATTTCTTAAAAACTGGCTAGGTACCATGAATAATGCCTGCTTTCAGAAATAATACTAAAATATCTTCTAACATAGATTCGAAAATGATTTTTAAAGATAATAAAGTAACTGTTTTAAAAAGTCGAAAAGAAAAAGTCAAGACGTATAACACATAAGGTAAGTTAAAGGAAAGTAAACGTTTGACTGCATTTCTTCCATCTCAGAGATGTAGCAAAATTCCTTATGAACATTACGGGCCAATTATGTAAATACAGCATCAGAAGATTTATAAATTTTGACTTACTTTTAGTAAAGAATTAAAAATGGGCTTGTCATTTCTTGTCACTCTCCCAGTCTCCCTACCTGTACCAGTCTGGATGGTTTTCTAGCTATTAAAACTTTCTCTACTTGAACTGCATATATTAGCATAAAGTCATTATGACCTCATTGGTTTTATCAGAGAGCCTGCTCGTATTTTCCAGCATCTTTTGGACAAATAAAATTCTGTCAGCTGAGAAAAACTTCTGAAGGCTTTAAATTTGTGAGTGCTTCAATATTCATTCCCCATACCAGACATTTTTCTTTCTATTATTATTTTTTTATTATACTTTAAGTTCTAGGGTACATGTGCACCACGTGCAGGTTCGTTACATATGTACACATGTGCCATGTTGTTGTGCTGCACCCATTAAGTCGTCATTCACGTTAGGTGTATCTCCTAATGCTATCCCTTCCCCCTTCCCGCACCCCACAACAGGCCCCAGTGTGTGATGTTCCCCACACTGTGTCCAAGTGTTCTCATTGCTCAGTTCCCACCTATGAGTGAGAACATGCGGTGTTTGGTTTTCTGTTCTTGCGATAGTTTGCTGAGAATGATGGTTTCCAGCTTCATCCATGTCCCTACAAAGGACATGAACCAATCTTTTTTTATGGCTGCATAGTATTCCATGGTGTATATGTGCCACATTTTCTTAATCCAGTCTATCATTGATGGACATTTGCATTGGTTCCAAGTCTTTGCTGTTATGAATACTGCCACAAGAAACATACATTTGCATGTGTCTTTATAGTAGCAAGATTTATAATCCTTTGGGTATATACCCAGTAATGGGATCACTGGGTCAAATGGTATTTCTAGTTCTAGATCCTTGAGGAATTGCCACACTGTCTTCCATAATGGTTGAACTACTTTACACTGCCATCAATCGTGTAAAAGTGTTTCTATTTCTCCACATCCTCTCCAGCATCTGTTTCCTGACTTTTTAATGATCGTCATTCTAACTGGTGTGAGATGGTATCTCATTGTGGTTTTGATTTGCATTTCTGTGATGCCAGATGATGATGAGCATTTTTTCATGTGTCTGTTGGCTGCATAAATGTCTTCTTTTGAGAAGTGTCTGTTTATATCCTTTGCCCACTTTTTGATAGGGTTGTTTGATTTTTTCTTGTAAATTTGTTTAAATTCTTTGTAGATTCTGGATATTAGTCCTTTGTCAGATGAGTAGATTGCAAAACTTTTCTCCTACTCGGTAGGTTGCCTGTTCACTCTGATGGTAGTTTCTTTTGCTGTGCAGAAGCTCTTTAGTTTAATTAGATCCCATTTGTCAATTTTGGCTTTTGTTGCCATTGCTTTTGGTGTTTTAGTCATGAAGTCCTTGCCCATGCCTACGTCCTGAATGATATTGCCTCGGTTTCCTTCTAGGGTTTTTATGGTTTTAGGTCTAACATTTAAGTCTTTAATCCATCTCGAATTAATTTTTGTATAAGGTGTGAGGAAGGGATCCATTTTCAGCTTCCTACATGTGGCTAGCCAGTTTTCCCAGCACCATTTATTAAATAGGAAATCCTTTCCCCGTTTCTTGTTTTTGTTAGGTTTGTCAAAGATCAGATGATTGTAGATGTGTGGTATTATTTCTGAGAGTTCTGTTCTGTTCCATTGGTCTATATCTCTGTTTTGGTACCAGTACCATGCTGTTTTTGTTACTGTAGCCTTGTAGCGTAAAGTCAGGTAGCATGATGCCTCCAGCTTTGTTCTTTCGGCTTAGGATTATCTTGGCAATGAGGGTTCTTTTTTGGTTCCATATGAACTTTAAAGCAGTTTTTTCCAATTCTGTGAAGAAAGTCATTGTTAGCTTGATGGGGATGGCATTGAATCTATAAATTACCTTGGGCAGTATGGTCATATTCACGATATTGATTCTTCCTATGCATGAGCATGGAATGTTCTTCCATTTGTTTGTGTCCTCTTTTATTTCGTTGAGCAGTGGTTTGTAGTTCTCCTTGAAGAGGTCCTTCACATCCCTTATAAGTTGGATTCTTAGGTATTTTGTTCTCTTTGAAGCAATTGTGAATGGGAGTTCACCGATGATTTGGCTCTTTTTTTGTCTGTTATCGGTGAATAAGAATGCTTGCGATGTTTGCACATTGATTTTGTATCCAGAGACTTTGCTGAAGGTGCTTATCAGCTTAAGGAGATTTTGGGCTGAGATGATGGGGTTTTCTAAATATACAATCATGTCATCTGCAAACAGTGACAATTTCACTTCCTCTTTTCCTAATTGAATACCCTTTATTTCTTTCTCTAGCCTGATTGCCCTGGCCAGAACTTCCAACACTGTGTTGAATAGGAGTGGTGAGAGAAGGCATCCCTGTCTTGTGCCAGTTTTCAAGGGGAATGCTTCCAGTTTTTGCCCATTTAGTATGATATTGGTTGCGGGTTTGCCATAAACAGCTCTTATTTTGAGATATGTTCCATCAATACCGCTTTTATTGAGAGTTTTTAGCATGAAGGGCTGTTGAATTTCGTCAAAGGCCTTTTCTGCATCTATTGAGATAATCACATGGTTTTAGTCTTTGGTTCTGTTATATGCTGGATTACGTTTATTGATTTGTATATGTTGAACCAGCCTTGCATCCCAGGGATGAAGCCCACTTGATCATGGTGGATGAGCTTTTTGATGTGCTGCTGGATTCGGTTTGCCAGTATTTTATTGAGGATTTTGGCATCGATGTTCATCAGGGATATTGGCCTAAAAATGTCTTTTTTGGTGTGTCTCTGCCAGGCTTTGGTACCAGGATGATGTTGGCCTCATGAAATGAGTTAGGGAGGATTCCCTCTTTTTCTATTGATTAGAATAGTTTCAGAAGGAATGGTACCAGCTCCTCCTTGTACCTCTGGTAGAATTCGACTGTGAATCCGTCTGGTCCTGGACTTTTTTGGGTTGGCAGGCTATTAATTATTGCCTCAATTTCAGAGCCTGTTATTGGTCTATTCAGGGATTCAACTTCTTCCTGGTTTAGTCTTGGGAGAGTGTATGTGTCCAATAATTTATCCATTTCTTCTAGGTTCCAGGAATTTATCTACTTATTTTAGGTTTTCTAGTTTATTTGCATAGAGGTGTTTATAGCATTCTGTGATGGTAGTTTGTATTTCTGTGGGGTCGATGGTGATATCCCCTTTATCATTTTTATTGCGTCTATTTGATTCTTGTCTCTTTTCTTCTTTATCAGTCTTTCTAGTGGTCTATCAATTTTGTTGATCTTTTCCAAAAACCAGCTCCTGGATTCATTGATTTTTGAAGGATTTTTTTGTGTCTCTATCTCCTTCAGTTCTGCTCTGATCTTACTTATTTCTTGCCTTCTGCTAGCTTTTGAATATGTTTGCTCTTGCTTCTCTAGTTCTTTTAATTGTGATGTTAGGGTGTCAATATTAGATCTTTCCTGCTTTCTCTTGTGGGCATTTAGTGCTATAAAGTTCCCTCTACACACTGCTTTAAATGTGTCCCAGAGATTCTGGTATGTTGTATCTTTTTTTCATGTTGTGAGATTTCTACCTTAAGAAAAAATTAAAAGTGGCAAAATCCCATATTCTTAAATTTAAAAAACAGACAAAATATTACATATACACAATTTTTAAAGAGTTGAAGAACACAAAGAACTGGCTTTATATGTTTTAGTTCTCTGCCTCCACATGTGAAGAAGATTTGCACAGCAAGAGATTTTATTAAATTGGTAATACAAATAAAATGTCTTGCGTGAATGAAGGCAGCATATATAAAGATAATTTTCTTCCCTTCTCAGGCCATGGGTAATATGTAGTTGAGTAATCATCAGTTCAGAATTACAGTTTTAAACACTATGTCATGTTCCATTATCTAAGATTAAAAGAGTTTGGAATGCAATTGTAGGAATTCAATTTCATATTTACACCCACATAAAAATAGTATAAATTCCTATTATAAAGCCCTTTGCTAGTCCAAAAAGGTACTCAGTCAATTCATTTCTTTTACACAGATCCACGTGTGATAATAGCCTCAGACACAGATGCTATTATTTTACCTTGAAGTTAGAGTCACATTAAGGTCCTACTAGGGGTATTTAAAGAGAGGCTAGAGGACATGTACTGGAAGTTTCAA